GAAGCTGATAAGCCCAGAACTTCTCCTGGAGACTTTGACAAAGCTTCTTGTCAGGATAACCGAGCAGATAAACACAGAACCCGTGGGCAGCCTGCTTCAAGAAGCGACCAAATCCTTATTCAAATTGATAAAGTCCATGTTGGACAAGATCGATCCAGAATCACTTCTTAAAATTGTGAAGGAGCTCACAACAGTGACTGTGAAGGCAATAATTGCCAAGGTGGGAGCACTTCGGATCATACACGAAGGCATAATCAGCAACGATGTCACTTCGGCGACCCTGGGAGCCATCTGGAACAATGGCGGCGATTTGGCGAGGTTTTTGGTTGACCTTATCGAACCTGCCAAGTGCTATGTCCCAGCAGACTATATTCCAGCTGACCCACCCACTGGAACCACTAAAGGGTCACCACGTGATGCATACAATGAATTGGACGCATCAAAACATATGAATCAGCACGCTGTAATTTGTCAACTTCAGAGGCTCGCCAAATCGTTGATTTTCATTGTGGGGGGAATGGGCAAAACTGTCAATATTGACGAGCTGGAAGACATTGGCATTACTGATGCAACCACACTCGGAAGCGACGTCAAATCCGTCGACTCGAACATCACTGTGGAAAACCCCTTAAAGGAGATATCGATAAATGAGAAGTGGTTGTATGTCAATGGTATAGGCGGAGAGCTTTTCTGGTTGCATCTTGCTTGCAAGAAACTAGCAACGCACTATTCAAGAGAAATAAGAGGGGTTTTCAATAGGGGTGATGGCCTTCTTTGGGACTTGGTTGAATGTGCAGGCGAAAGGACCGTCCAGAGAACTGGCACCGCAAAAGAACAGAAGAAACTTATCAAAAGAACAAAGAGCAGCAGGATGGCACAGAAGTCATTGGTAAAGGAATTGAAGTCAGCCTTGAACGCCAATCCAGAGCCCAAGCATGTCATGATGATAGCTCATTCCCAGGGCTGTCTACTTTTACGCCTAGCATTGGAACAGATATTGAATGATTCAGTCAACGATACCGAGATTCCTGAAAGAATGAAGAAACACCTTTGCATCTTCACTTTCGGCAACCCCAGCGTCGACTGGAAATGGGAATTGGGTGAACAACATATTGAGCAACTAAACCTTGACCAGCAATTGGACGATTTTACAAACCTCAGCTCGCACGTTCTTCGCACTGAGCATTTTGCGAACGAAAATGACTTCGTAGCGAAACTCGGGGTGTTGAATGAAAACAAGTCAGAGGATAGTGGCTATGCGCCTGAACATGTCTTCATTAATGAAAAAGAAGACTGGGCTAGCGGCCATCTCTTCGGGTCACAGTACAGTCTTGACCCAGATGACTACTTAAATGCTGGAAGCAAATTGAGTGGCAAGAGATCCTGGTTGCTCCGTTGTGAGAAAGGGAAATCTTTGGAGGATCTGCAAAGTAAGCTCCTCGTCTGCTTTACTGAGTCTAGTCTAAATATCTGTTCGATCAGGAGACCGCACGCCCAGTCCTTTTTGAGCATCGGTTAGCTTGGATCGGTACCTGAATACAGGCGCAGGGAGCGTGAAGAGAAGTTCTATCAACAGAGTCCTCAACCGTGGGGAATAAAAGGCCATACTTAGCCCGGAGGTCACTCTTCATGCCGTCCATCGTATCCAAAAATCAATACTGTACAAAACTCCATCTTCTGGCTTTATATTCTGGTAAAACTTTCTGTTATTCTCCAATCTCATTTCCATATACGGCTCACTTGATTTCTTAAAACGGTAACTCTACTCAACAAAGCTTCACCTTCACTGTGAATAACTCCTTCCAGCCCTGACCGATCATCCCCCTAATCAAACCTCGCATAAACCCTCCACGCCAAATCCACACCCGTAAGCTGACTCAAATCCAGCTTGTCACCATCCAGCAACTGGATCGTCCACTGAGTAAAGACAGTGGGATAGGCATGGACCTCGTCCCCGAACGATCCATCTATATGGACTTCCCCGATTTCCCCGTTAGCATCGATATCGTAAGACACTCGGGCAGTCTGCGGCCCACGAGTGAAATGAAAGATCTTTCCATCTTGGATATCAGCATATAGCCCCGAAGTCGAGAGATTGATGTTGACGCGGTACACGCCGTTCTGGAGATTCTCTGATCGGGGACGCGCGCCCCGGAGATAGGCTATTAGGCCGGCCGCGCGGAAGTGTGATCCATCGGTGAAGATGCTGGCGAAGCTGGGTTCACTGTCTGGATCGGTACTCGGGGTGAGGGTGAAGCTGGCGCTGTGCGTTTCGCTTTGAAGGTCGGAGATTATTAGTGGACCGTAGTTGGATGGGAGCTTTATAGTATAGGTGGGTCAGGAACGTTATGCTAGCCCGTGGGTTGGAGGTGGGGGGATAACTTACGTCGTTGGATGACACAGTTTGTGTGAGTACTGGGTATATAATTATTAGTGTGTTTCAGCGAACATGGAACAATGTTTGCAAGTCTACTTACACTGCAGGATTCGGTCGTACTTGGAGTTGATGGTATTCATCGCGTCATCAATGAGATACACATCATTGCGAAATTGGGCCGTGGTTTTTTGGGAATCCAGCACTAACGGGCTGTCCTCCAGGGCCCAGTATTTGTACGCCCAGGCCATATTGCGCATCTCCATGGCCACCGAGGTTTGCATGAACAGATAAGAATCGTAAAACTTCGCTTCTGCTGTAGCATACAGCTCTTCTTCACCAGTATACTTGTCAATTAGCTCTTGCAGCTCTTTGATATCCTTCTGACTGGTGATAACTTCCATTTCTGCTAGCACATATTCCTGTCCTGCTTTGGTGGCTTGAGCATCCGCCTGAGCCAGGGCCTTCCCATTGATGCTGTATTTCTGAATAGCCAGCCGATAAGCAGCAGCGCCCCGGATAGCATGGGCAACCGCGAAGTCCAGCTGCGCAACAGAATTGACGGTCCAAGTATCCCATGCAGCTAACGTAATGATCAGTCTCGCATCGGCGTCTCCTTGCCTGGTGCCGGAGATATCGTCCACGGATGGGATTGCCGCGTTTGGGTCAGTCTCCAATTTCTTAACCGCCGCGGCGACTGTGACCATGGAGAAGTAAAGGGTTTCCAGAGGGCCCATGCACTCCGTGAGCTGCTGCAAAGTATCCGACGAGATGTGTCGATCCTGTGCAGCGGTGTTTTTCTCTGCCTGTTTGACTTGATCGATAATATCTGCTGCACCCTTTATTGCTTTCAGCACATCGTCTAGGACGGAGGCGGCCGAAATACGGTACAGCTGCTCGCCAAATGTCAATATTCCAGTCAAAAGGCCGTACACTCCAATGAACACCGCTTGCTCTTCCCAGGCTAGCAGGCCTTCCTCGAACGCTTGCTGGGCGGCATCCAACTCGTGGCGACCCGCTGTGACTAGATCATGGCAGCTGTCTCTAGTGGCACAGGCATCAGAGTATTTGTCGGAGGCGAGATCCCGAGCCTGCTCCCGCAATGCTTGTTGATTGATGGCCTGTTGAAGCATGGTGGTCCAAGCGGCCTTGTGATCCTCGACACTGGCTTCCTGATCTTGAAACCGTTCATACTGTGTCTGGAACGCATCCAGAGCATCGATGGCATCCTCGACAGTTTGCCGGTACTGGCTAATAGTCAAGGCAGGGGCATACGAGGTGTCAGGACCGGTCATGGCCTGGGCAGCTAATTGCTGGCCCAGGGACACTGCCTGCGTGTTAAGCGCCGGGTAAAGCGCGGGACGGGCCGTTGCGGTGGCCACATGCGCACACAAGGAGATGGCAATGGAAGGCTCCTGCCAGAATAGCGCTTGTGCAATTCGTAACTGTGTCGCTAGCGAGGCCTCGAAAACCTCATCCGGGAGGTCGAAATACTGCTGGTAGTACGCGACACTAATGCTGTCCGTCTGGACGGTGACCACCGCCCCAACATGATCCGTCCCTTGACCAAGCTCCAGGCGGACACTCTGCGACGCATTGGGACTCTGCACCGTCACCGGCTGGTCTAGGATAGAGGCATAGATCCGGAGCACACAGCCTGTGTACGGGGCAGGCTGGACCTTCAAAGTCACGGGTGCGTCGGCAGTCAGGACCCGCGCAGCCAGGACAAACATACTGTCCGTCGTGGACGAAAGGGTAGTTCCTGCGGAATCAAATGCAAGAACATCTGTGTACACATACATTGGGTTGTGGGTCAGAGACTTCACAAAATCAGTCGAGGTCATGTACACGTCTCGTTGATAGCCAGTGTCCTATTGTCCACGCAGGACCTTGCTCATTAACACTACCCACACCATAGATAGAGTCTCATTGTGAAGACTTACCCTGTCTTTCATCCCAGCATCTTTCTTTACCGGTACTGCCAACACCACGTCGGAGAGAGCATACTGCTTCTGCCAATCGGCCGGGCAAGCCGGCTGGGGCTCGTATGAATTGGACATGACTGCCTCTGGTGCTCGAGAAGCTGGGGGTTTGAGAGACCGTAACTATGAAGCAGGAAAACTAATCTCCTGCTTTATACGCATGGGACAGGGATGTATATCTCAGAACAGCCACAACGTGTCACGAATCATGTCAGAACAGCATGTGTGCAAGTGGGCCGAAGCAATATATTGAAGATTCCTAAGCGGACAGGGTGACTCAAATATATGCATACCCCGCTCGGTCGCAATGGCTACCTTCAAGCAGCAGAAAATGCCTCATACTGGGATTATTTCTGTAATGCTAGACGGCAGTATCATTCGAATTCATTGGACATACTGTGTGCACAGTTGACGTTATTGTGCTTCGACGGGGTGAGGGGACAGCCCTGACCAAAAGCGCGGGAGATTCTTTTGCTGTTTCGAAAATGCCCTCGACCCCTGCTCACACCCCTCACCGGTCAGGTATTCATGTAGTGCATGCCTCCCCATATTAAGGGCAGCCATACTCCTGCCTTGATTGCGTAGTTAGTAACGACATTTCAATCCTCAAGCTCTCTTCCTGCAAATATCTCTTACCAACCATCATGAGTGAAACCGAAGTCAGCAAGCGTCTGCAATCCTCCTTAAGCACTGACAAGGGGCGATTCAATGAGGTACTTCAATCATGATAAGCCATTCGCATTGATGAAGGAATACTTACAGCCTACTTTAGATCACAGCCCTTTCGCAGAAGGCCATCAACGATGGCATGTCTAAGTTGTTGGAAAGTTATCCGGAACTAGCTAAGGTCGAGGCTTCAATGGAGGGTATTGGCACTCTGAATGCTACACTACAGAGTAGTCAACTTTCCCTGGACGTCACCGGGCAGCAGAATGCCGTCTCCATGTACTACTGTACCTTGGGGTCGGGAACTATCCATTTCGGCATCGGGTCAGTTCGAACATGTTCATTGCAGACGCTTGGCTAACAGTGTACGGGTGTTTGAAACAGGAACAAAGATGTTGAAATAAGCAATTGGACTATCGCCTGGACTTGTACTCTTGATAAGGAGGTAGTTGATCCAAGCTCTGACGAGTTTAAAGAAGTCCAAACACAAATCCTGCAACCCGGCGACTACTCAATCAGTTCCTTGTTCTTTGCTTTCACTAGTAAGTGAACAGGTCGGATTTCTCACAATATATAGGAGTACTTCAATTCACTGTTGACTGACTGACACCGTTGCGTTTATCTCAAGATGATCACATCATCTTTTTTGAGTCAGTGATCATACCCCTTATGATGGTCAGCGTTCGTTACTGATAATCCCCAGCCGTGAACATAGTACCTTCAACGGCGTTGACTTGACCGAGGACGAAAAGTCCTATCTAGGCCTGATTCTCGGCCACTGGTATGTAGGCGAGGACAGTAAGTGGCTGGACCGCAAGAAGCGCACCCTGGCGTATGCGTTACATACGGACAAGCCCCAGACCGTGAACGAGGAGGCGCCATCCTTTCCTCCAACATCTCTGAAGCTGCAGACCTACCCTTATATTGCCCCCAATGAAACGAAGCCGGGACAGGGTCTTGGGTCGGTCGGTGAGAACAACATGCTCCTCTATCTTCAAATGACCGACAATAAACCCTTTCCCGATGTCCGGATTTTGGAGTACTCGGGGAATTACGTCTCCAAGGGCATGAACGGCACGTTTATCATCGACCGGAACATCATCTGGGATAGCTACCTCTTTCGAACTACGGCCCCGAAGCTGCTACCTATGTTCAACGTTTATACCTACGCCTGGGTCGCCAGCGCCAGCAATACGAACCTATTCGGAGAGCAATGGTCCATTGGACTCGGAGACCCGAGCCATTCAAGCGACGCTAGCTTTTATGCGTGGAAGCAAAGTGACACGGATGCTTTGACTTGGAAGTGGACTCCCTCAAATGAGGAGCAGGGATATCAGCATACATACAAGTCCGACGCAGGCTGGAATAAACTTAACATTGATTGTAAGTGTGCTCGTTGGTGTTCCCGTAATAGAAGGGATTCGAATCATAACACTTGCGCTCCAGGTACCACTTCCAATATATTGAGCACCGTTCCCGGAACTGGCAACATCAAGGCGAGTGGCACTACGGATGTCACCATTGTTTGCCAGGCAGTAGCCACAACCTACCCCATGGTAGCGGAATACGACTACACGTGAGTGTACTCTTCTCCACTCTGACTTGTTCAATCTGATTGGGAACTTTCAGCATGCATGTTCAAATTACTTGGCAAACCAATATCACCGTCACCACTAGCGACGGTGGCCTAAAGTTTTCTCTCAATTTGCCCTCCGATCTGACCGAGGCCTTTAAGGTGACGGCAGATCCGCTAAAGTGGCACGGTGAGACTGGAGGCTTTAATAAGCTAGACGAAGTCAAAACCATATATCAAAACTTTCAGGACCAGCTCGTCAAACAATTCCAGAATATCTCATTCGGTGATGCTGAGAAAAGTCTGGAGAGTGATCTTAATACCTCGGCCCGGTTCGTGATCCCGGGTAAGGGCTCGTTGGCATATAAAGATCCGATTTTCAACAACAATGGGGACATGATGATCGAGGCCGATTATGTGATCTAATGTTCTTGACATCCTGTTTCAAGACGAAGAGTCAAAGGTGTATTCGAATCTATCTCGAGCTCAATATGATGGTTGTAGGTTGGTGTCAGAGGTGGTGGTCAGATGCAGGCGCAGGAGATGGTGGAGGATCAGGTGATGCCTGGCTACAGCAAATGTCTCAACATCTCGTCTTTCTCATTTTATTTTCGAACAGGTATGCAGCGCTAGCGGGCAACTCGGATCCTTTTCGTGCTTAAAATGCGTGTTTCGTGTTGGTTAGCCACTAAATAGCTTCTTAAGGCTTATCCTGCCACGATTGACTTTCTTCTTTGGATACAACATAGGATATCCTTCGTTAGCGATCATGTATTCCCGAAGATGGTTAAATCAGGTACTAGCTTCGACTGATGTCTTTGTCGGACAAATAAGCACACCCTCTTTCACTGGAAGATGGCCTCCAACCATGGGTTTTCATGTTACTTGGCATCATCGCGTCACTGCTTTCTAGCCCTTCTTGCGAAAATAGCAGTGCCCTTTGAAAAGATATAGCTAGTGTTGATGGAAATAGGGATGAGGACCTCTGAGAAGCAAACAGTATCTCGGTTGATAAAGATCCCTAGATTGAGGGTAATGAAAAAACGGCGATAGCTAAGCATAGCATAACAAACTAAAGATGTTAGATCAGATGAAGACGTGTGTTTGTAGATCTGTCTTGTCTGAGTAATTAAACTCCAACAAGTCCCTTGCTGAAGGTGGACAACGTGGTATCAATGAACACCCAAAGTTCTACCATTGGTAAAGTGGGCGGCCTTGTGAGCACAATGCCGAAAAGCAGATCTTAATATCCCAATCAAACCATACACTAATAGCAAAGGAACTCGCCGACCACAAGTGTCCTATATAAAGATTACTTGCTGGCAGAGTAAACCCATGCAATGGGCTCGGAAGTACGTGCGACAGTGTCAGACTGGAGCTGAGAATAGTTCAGCTAGGTCTAGAAACGCCCACACTTGCACGCAATAGAGGTTTTGGACTATCTAGTATATACCATTCATGATTAGGATACTTTTAGGAATATCCGAGACAGTTCTTCTAATATATAGTGGTAGTGGTTATTATCCATGAGTTGAGCACAGCTATGATGCTCTGCCGAGTCGCTGAACGACCAGGAGGGGAGAAACCCCCCTAGTTTGCTGGCATTCCCGGTACGTTTTCACGTAGGTTGTAATACTGAATCAGAATTCTACCTTCTATACCAATTCTCTTTTTTGGGCCTTCGCGTATAGGTATTAAAGTCTGGAGGAAGACCCCATGGAAGAAACCGATAGAAATCCGTAGGACACTCAGAGTATATGACGGCGAAGAGAAAAGAAGGGTTATGATCTTCTAATGTATATTATATATTTTGGATATCTTCTAGTCACGTGTCTGATTATTAGGATTTTCTGACTCAGACTAATTTCTGAAGCCGTCGCGTGTTGAGACCCCTGGCATTCGCTCCCCACTTGGTCCGAAGAAGGGGGGGGGGAGAGGATCACGGCAAGAAATTAGTCTACATAGTAGATAGTTCCTGGAAATGTGGACGAGGTAAAATAAAAGGTTAATCATATTTATAGCGCGGTCAATGATTGACGAGTAATGGGAGTTGGAATGGGGCCTGTCAGACTGTCAGAAAATGGAATCAACTGCCACTTTTAGCGGCGGAGGAATTTTTATGCTTTGCTGCGACCGCCACGGAATCCGGAATCTCCCGTTCAATGGATTGTTTTGTTTCCCTTTGTGAAATAATAATAATTCAGTGGTTTTCAGGGGGAGGATCGTACGATACTAGTAGGATCTAGCATGCATTCCATCGCAGTAGTCCCCTGCACACCCCTTGCAGGTGGCCCGACAGGTAGCAGGTGGAAGGAAGCTGCAGGTTTCCATGGAAGTATCAGCAGTATCTAGTATGTATGTATGTATGTATTGTGTGGTACGGGAGTAACATACACTATACTACTAGTAAAATGGTTACTCGGGATTCATTTTTGCCAATCAATCAATCGATCCATGCTAAACCCAGATGGTCACTAGTATTCCCACCGTTTTAAAATTAAACCCATTCGATCCTCCACTCGAACCACCTGGACCCTTTGGGTTGTCTCCTCCTCCACAGTCCACACAGTCCAGTCCACACTCTTAGAGTCCACACAGACACAAGTCCAGTCCTGTCCATTAATCGTCTTTCCATCGTGCCGTTGATCATTCATTCATTCATTCATTCACTTTCCATTCTTCTCTCTCTCTCTCTCTCTTCTCTCCTCTCTCATCCTCTCCTCTCTTCCTTTCTATCCCCGCCCCTTTCCCCCATTCTTCGATTTCCCTTTTGCCCTTCTATTTATTTATTTATTTATTTATTTCTTGTTCTATTTTCTCCAACCTACAGACTAGACTAGGGATCTCTCCCCCCCAACCTGCACGAAGCAATTGTTATCCCTGTGAAACATGTCTGCAACCTTTAGGGGGTGGAGACACGCGACCCCCCATTATTTGTTCCAATCCCTTCGCCCTTGTCTGCTCTCTCACCAAATCACCAGCATGCAACTCGTCTGTTTGGTGTTCTGATTCTTTTTTCGCTCCCTTCGACTTACCCACTACTGCTGCGCCGCTACTGCACCTCGTGGATGATTCTCATAACGTATACCGCACTTTTCTCCAGAATCCTTTGAATGCACCCCTCCACCCTGGCAAAAAAGAAATAAATACCAGGCTAAAAAAGCATAAAACCTGTTTTGTTTGCCCAACTGGTGGGTGACGCCATTGTATTTTTTTTTTTCTTTTATTCTTCTACACTTTTCCCTGTCGTCTGCACCTCCAATGCGCTTTGCTTTATAAGCCTCGTGGTGAACTGCTGAAACCGCCCTGTCTACAATAAAAATAAAGAAAGAAGTCTTCCCAGCCATGGCGATGGAGAAGCAGGATCATCAAGTGGTTGATGGCCAGCACCCGACACCCATGAAATTTTCCCGTTACCGTTCCGTGAGAAAAGCCGCGGCGAAACAGCCACCACCACCACCACTACCGCAATCCTGCCCCCTGCCCCCGCCGCTGCCCATCCCGCCTGTCGCTTCCGCACCGCCGTCGCATGACCAGCCAGCACTCCCCAATGGCTCCAGCCATGGCTCCAGCTCCGTTCAGAGGAGTATGTCGCGATACCGTCGCAGAGCTCCTACTGCGCAATCCGCCGATGCCGATGCACAACCTCCCGTCCCAGCCCCTCCTCCGGCGTATAAAGCGCAAGTCGACCCCAGTGCCAATGGAGGTCCTGTTCACCCGCACTTTCAGGACTCAGAGGGCGCCGAGATGGTGCGAATGCGAACCAAGCTGGCGAGCAAATTGGCCGCGCGCGAGAAGCGGCATCAGGAAAAACCAGAGGATGATGAGGCGGAGCGCGAAAGACATCGACAGAATGCGATGGATCGGCTGACCGGCGGCGAAGCGAAATCGGTGTCTATAACTCATTCAAAACCTGCGTCGCGCGATAGATCAGCCGACAAAGCTGAGGAGTATGCGGTTCGTCGTCCCCATAAGGAATCGGAGCATCGGAAACCCCAAGCTGGATCCGCTTCGGCGAGTCGTCGCGCGAGCATGGAACCAAGGCGTCAATCGATCAGTGATACAGCCACCCCAGCGCATCGCAGAAGTGCGCACGGCGATGCGTCAGCAGTCCCGGCGATTGATACCACGGTGCCTACTCAGTTCCCAGGGATTGATGCGCCGGTATCGGCTGTCAATGCGCGCGAGCGGCGGGTGCTGGTTCAATACCGCAAATCATCTGCGCGCATCTGCATCACCCCCTCCACATCTGCTCAAGACATTGTCGCGACTGCATTGGAGCAGATGGATGCCGGGGTAGACCCAGCAAAGTTCATCCTGGTGGAGTCGTTCGCGGAGCTGGGGCTGGAACGGCCATTGCGCCGCTACGAATACGTTCGGGAGGTGCTGAATTCCTGGACCCACGACGAACAGAACACATTGATTGTCGTCCCTGCAGCTAGTCTGGATGCGCTAACCCTGCTTGATGCGCGGAACGTGTCACTCGGTCCACCCGCGGATGTGACCTACTACATGTACTACTCGCAGCGGCCTCGCAAATGGGATAAACGCTACGTGACCCTCCGGTCCGACGGCCAAGTGACCGTCTCCAAGAAGGAGAATGCCCAAGATGCAACCAACGCTTGCCATCTTTCTGATTTCGACATCTACTCTCCTACCGCCAGCTACCTCGCGAACAATGTCAAGCCGCCCAAAAAGTTCTGCCAGGCTGTCAAGAGCCAGCAAAAATCCAACATGTTCCTCTCGACGGAGAATTTTGTCCATTTCTTCTCGACCAACGACCGCGAGACTGCCGATGGCTGGTACCGGGCCGTCCAAACCTGGCGCAGCTGGTATCTGGTGACGAAGCTGGGGGCAGGCCAGCCGGCGGAAGCAGAAGCCATGCAGCCGGACGAGACCCCATTCAAGCCCTTGCTGAACCCCTTTGAGGAACCAGCCAACGAGGTGAAACCGTCGCAACCCGCGCTAGAACGCGCCAAATCCACGAAGACCAAGGAGCTCTTCTCCCACAAGAAGAGCACCCGCGAGCGCGGGCCTCCACCTACGTCGTTCCCCAAGCTCCTCACCGGCGAGTCCGACCTCGCTACAGGCTCATCCTCGGATGAAGCCCCCTTCTCGGCATCCGGCCTTCTCGGCCGAACCTACACCATGCGCCAACGCGCATTGAAAGAGCGTGAGGAGCAAGAGAAAAGAGACAACGAAGAACTCATCAAACAAGGCCTGATCGGCACCATGGGCTCCCGCCACCCCAGCCGCACCAACACCATGACATCCAGTCACGGCCCAGACCCCAACCTCATGCGACGCACGCAATCCATGAAAAACAAACCCCTCGTCGACCTAACCCCGGTCTACCAAGAACCCCCACAACACATCCGTAAAGGCCGCGGCATTGCCGTGGAACCAGGACTGCCCCTAATCGACGC